CCACTATGGATCTTAAACAGGTTTTCTTGTGTTTACCATTAAGGATATAAAAACATTTTAGTTATGGTAAATTGGTAATTACATTTTACTGCTATTTCTAAAACGGCGTTTTGCATAGGCAATTCTACGTACTTTCATGTATTTGCGCTTTATTACATTGTCTTGAGACAATTTTATAGTTTACAAATTTTAAATTATACTGTTTTGGTTAATTTTTTTTTTTTTTAAGTAAATTATTCAATATTTAAGTACCATTTTTTTTTCCTACATTTTATTGAGGCAAAGTACTGTATTTTATGGTCTTCCCATTCCATTTCTTAAACTAAATTTGTTTCGATAGGTACATAAAATGGATAAATTTGAATTTTTTTATGGATTATAGACTAATGATTTTATGGATGATCACTAATAATTTTTCATCTCATACATTCTATTACAGCAAAAAAAATCTTTCACTACTTGCATTTACATAAGGTAAAGTTCAAATGATTTCCATATTTGGGAATGAATAAGGCTTCAAAGGACCTTAGCATTCATAATCACCCTGGCACGTTGAAGTGCAATAAAAAGTTTCAGAATATTTTTAAATATAGTTCATTTGTCGACATACACGTCTAATAATTTGCTTGGCAACAGATAAATCAAAATCGTTACTTTTATTTTTACATCGACTTGAACAACAATTACTGCCTCTCCGTAAAGTTCTTATGATTTCTTTAGACATTTTTTTTTTAATTTTTGTAATCTCAGACTTCTTTAAACACAAAACAGTGATCAAAACGATTATGTATACCGAGACGACGGAATTTTCGAAAAAGGCGGCCGTCCACAAAGAATCAATTTGCATGTAAGTTTATATTATACATATATATATATATATATAAGGTATTTAGGTCAAAGTAGGATACAAACCCCTTTCGCCTTTACCTTTTCATATCCCAAAATGCAACGATTAAATGTATATTGTTTATATTATGTACACAAATTAAGATGCAGCTGCTCGCTATCAACCTAAGACACTCCGCTTCCTCTTCACTCAACAACAATCATTGGTAATATGACTTAATGTTACAATTTTTGGACATTAAAGTAAGAAAACTCTAATATTATCTCTAATCTTCGCCTTGCACTCGCAACTGCATGGGATCGGCCATTTTTAGAGTTGAAATGGAATTAAATAAAATCGATCAAAAACGAAAATGTTTAATAACGTCACCACGTTACCCATATAGTATACATATAGTATAGAAATGTAGTGCCCATGAACGCGTTACCAAGTTTCTGGTTGTTAGATAAACAGTTTTTCTATACAGTAAACAATAGTCGGTGTTGTATTTATTTATTATTCATTATTATCTAACAACGATGCGGCATGTTTTTTTTTTTTTTTGTAGTTAATATTTTATTTGTTTCAAATGAATTTAACCGGACAGTTTCAACAAGAACCAAACGAAAGTCAGACGCGTTTGGTATTTTGTGAGAAAAACGGGTAAATATTATTTTCGTAAAATAAATACTACATAATAGATAATTAATGATTTTTTACATTTATTTAAAGTTAGAAAAACATTAATTCGCTTTGTATTACATGTTATTTTAGATGCTAAATTCAGAGATGTCCCAATAGGTCAGTATAAACTAAGGATATAGTAGTTACCTAATGGGTAATATATATATATATATATATATATACGTTATACATACGCATATACAGGATGATTATTTTATCGTGAGCCACTCAACATCTCATAGGGTTTTAACATGAAATTATACTATTTATTTTTTTGTATAAAGTAATCTCAATTTTTTTACATTTCTCTATTGTTCCTACCCCCTACTAACTTAGTTTTTTTGATAAAAACTATTTATACTTAAATGGTAATGCATGTATTTCATAAATTTTTCAAATTGAGAATAATGTACTAAACGCATTGACTGGCTCATAACTAGTTTTGGACCAGTCAAATCTGTTAGTACATTTTTCTCGATTTAAATTACTAATGAAATGTACGTGTTACCATTTAAAATTCGAAAATTTCTATCAAATATACTAAGTAGAAAGGGGGTAAAACCCGAAAAAATTGTGAAAAATTTAGATCAAATTGTATAAAGTCTATGTGAAAAACAAAATGAATTTCTTATTAAACTCTATGATTCATTGAGTAGCTCATGATAAAAAAATCGCCCTGTATAGTATTATAGGATAGAAATCATTATTTATGTTTCTCCTAGACAGTCGAACGAAAAACGGCTTTTCATACATATTTTATAAAGTATTTCGTAGTACAATGAATTAAATGGAATTTCACATATTCTCTATATGAATTGGAATAAAAATTATTTTCTAACAAAATATTTTTAATTGATATTTAAGAAAAATTGTTGAAAAATTTTAGAGATAAAAATGATACTAAACCACCACATAAGTCTACAAAATTTCAATAAGAATTTATTTTTTTTATGTAAAAGCTGCACCAAAAAATGCTTGCGTTTAACTGTCGTCGAGTGACAGTTTCGAACAAAAATGTGTTGGATTTTATCGAAAATTATCTCATCTGGACAATAACGAGACGGCGGTGGTAATGGAAAAACAGAAAGTCGACGTCAAAAAAAAAACGTACAAAAATTCCAAGTGTATTAATTAAAATTTTCATTGTCCGACTATGTCTAAAATGATCACGTGTTACCAAACAATACCGTACCTTTAGCAACACGAACTGCAGTAGTAAATAAATTATCATCATTAAGGGATGGACACATTTAGGCATGAAAACAAAAAAGGTCACGTTTTAGTAATCGAGTTGATCTCAAAGCTTTATTACTGGCTTCCAAAACGTTTGCTACGCACACACGATTGTAGCAGCTATTGAACGATTAAAATGATAATAATTTAAAAATCTACATATTACTTTCGGCGTTATATCTACTACGAATTAATTATTGATTAAATAATTGTTAACTATCTTAACTATCTTTGGCAGCCGTCGAAAATTCATCCGGGTTCCGATTCTTAAAATCCGGCCAATCCGGGATTTAACTGCGTCGATCATACCAGCATAATTGCTAGCGCTTTTTCTTGATTTTCTACCAAGATCGAACTGATATCGGCTGACGTTTCTACAGCGATTTCGTTGGTATAATAATCAATCCATTTTTCCGGTTTTATCCACCTTAAGGGCCATGGCAAAATCGGTTACCAAACTATTTATACCGGTTACCATTTGTTCATGACTCTGTTGCGTTTCTAGCACTGTATCCTCTGGGCTTAACTGAAGAAATGAAAAAGCTTGAAAATGAGGTATTTACAAATGTCTACAAACGTCTAGGTTTCGCGTTCGACTTTGGTAACCAGGTTACTACTATATTAGCTACAGATAATATCGATAATAATAACGCATGGTACAGATTCGGTAAAGTTACTTTTCCATAATACGTCTAAAATTTAATATAAATTTATATTCATTTAAACAAAACCGTTGAATATTAACTTTGAATTTTATTTGTTTTAATATCAAATGTTTGACATAAGATGTACAACGCTTAAACATACATTTACTACACACAAGTGTATCTGTTGTTGTTTCACAGTAGATTCGTTGATAAAAACATAATATTATATTCTCTTCGCATAAAACTAAGAGGATGCTACTCGCGCTTGTTATTAAGGAGAAAGGTAAAGGTAATTTTTCGTAAAATCTTAATTTAGAGTTCAAACTATAGTGTACAACTATACTCTAATAGTTACAGCGATAATGATTCGGTATTTTTTTGTCAGAATATCTCAGTCGTTTCTCTAGAAAATATTTGATTTTGTTCACGTCAAAATAATTTTCCACAAACCAAAGTGTCTTAAAATTGTTGTAAAATAATCAAATTTTCTTAGTTAATACCTGAAAGTTGTATTGTGCTGAAGATGTTTTAAATGTCTGATAGCCTAATGCACTGTTATTTAATAATTTATTAAAAAGTACTAGACAATCTTAAACTATTAAAAATTGTACAGAAAAGAAATGTTCAAGTAAATCAACAGACATTATTAAAAATAAAAATATTTCAACGGAAATATTAAAAAAACCGTAGTAAATAGTAGTAGAAGTAGTAATCAAATAAAATAAGTAATCAAATAAAAGAGGTCCAGTGTTCACATATAATAATACAAATATTTTTTTTAAATGCATCAATGATTTTATAACTATAAACAATTATACTATATTTCTACAAGTGTTTAACTGTTTTAGTCTTAGTGAAATATTATTACCTAAACTAAATAAAACAGCTTGGTGATTTTCAAAGTTGTTAGTGGGAGCCTGCGATAAAAATACTGTAAATGCATTACTGTATGGTAAGTATACTCGTGTATCATTAATTCATATAAAATCGCAAGTGAAAAAAAAGCAAAATAATAAAAATGAGAGGTATATGAGGCCTAAGTCGTGTGCTTTTACATGACGACTTTTGAGAGTACCTTGGCGACCATACGACTGTTCACAGATGGAGCATTTGTAACCAACATTTGTCTACCAAAGCATTTTTCACAAAAAGTTGTGTAAACGCTAAACAATGTTTTATCATGTATAAAACACATTAGGTTCACTAAATGCGTTTGTACAAGTGTATATTTGTACATTATATTAATATAAGTTAAACTAATTAAAGACTAAGAAGTTAATTTTTTAATCATATACGATTAATTAGAAATAAAAATTGTAATTTTAATATTTATTTAAAACAGAAATATACAACGAAAAATAGTATTTTTAAATTATTATCCACGGTTATTATAGTGGATTATGAACATGTTTTACTAAAGAATAGAAACTATTTCACCAACTAGTTATTTTAAATGTATAATTAATCCAACAAAAAAATTAACACAATTTAAAAGTAGCACAATAAATTAAAAGATAAAAAAAATAATTTCCATTATATGATTCGTTGCATAAAAATAAATAAATATTTAAATTTAAAAATATAAACTCACATATTTTATAAATATTTTCTCCTTAAAGCCAACAGTAATTATAAAAAAAACTACTAACATTGTATAATAAAAAATAAAAATATGAACAATTTTTTTTTTACAATAATGCATGTAAAAGTATAAAAACTAAACAGTTCAAGTGATCCGTCGAAAAATGAAATGGAAAATGTCATAGTTATAGTAACGGTCAGTTAAACGATAGTAACGATAAAAAAGATACAAGAGAAAACAAAAAACAAAAAAATTAAATCGTAAGTAAAAAAAAAAATTGCAAAATAATAACAAATAGATCCTGAACAAATATTTAAAATCTGCCAAATGCCTAGTCACGTGGTGAGGGTGACGAGTCTATGAGCCGTGTGCTTTTGCTTGATGACCTTTGAGAGTACCTTGGCGACCATACGATTTTTCACAGATGGAGCATTTGTATCGCACCCCACCAGTATGTATGCGTTCGTGAGATTTGAGGTGAGATTGTCTGCCGAAGCATTTTTCACAGACACCGCATTTAAATGGTTTCTCACCGGTATGTACACGCGAATGTCTCTTCAAATCAAAATGGACACTGAAGTTTTTTCCACAGACGTCGCAGTTGAACGGTTTCTCGCCGGTATGTCTACGTGCATGATCCGCGAGATTATATTGTAGACTGAAGGCTTTTTCACAGACACCGCATTTAAACGGTTTCTCGCCGGTATGTATGAGTGAGTGTTTCGCGAGAATAGATTTTTGTCTAAATGTTTTTTCACACATATCGCATTTAAACGGTTTCTCGCCGGTATGTACACTTGAATGTATCGCGAGAGCAGATTGCTGTCTGAATGTTCTTTTACACACGAAGCATCTAAACAGTTTCTCGCCGGTGTGTATCCTTTTATGGTTGTTGAGGTGAGGTCGTGTTCTGAATGTTTTTTCACAGACATCGCATTTAAAGGGCCTGTCGCCGGCATGTATCGTTCTATGAATTATGAGGGAAGACTGGTGACAAAATGTTTTTTCACAGGCGTTGCATTTAAAGGGCCTGTCGCCGGCATGTGTCCTTTCGTGGCTTTTGAGCGAAGTCTGGTGACTAAATGTTTTTTTACAGACATTGCATTTATACGGTTTTTCGCCGGTATGCATTCTCTCGTGAGTCTTAAGATGATGTTGTCGACGAAACTGTTTTTCACAGACATCGCATTTGAAGGGTTTTTCACCGTCGTGTATCATTTTATGATTCTTGAGTGAAGATTGTCGAAATGTTTTTTCACAGATACCGCATTTAAAAGGCTTTTCGTCCGTATGAATGCGCCAATGTCTTCTCAGGCTCGATATTGATGAACAACTTGTTAAACAAATACCACAATTATTTAAGTCATCTTTGTTTCGAGTATAGTAATCCATAGAGTTTGTACAATTTGAAGTGCCGATCTTGTTACACGGATAATGAATACTGCAGCACGTATAAAACAAAATTAATTAATTTAAGGTCAATATTTTGTACCCAATATCAAAGGTCTTAATGTATCAAAAAAGCATAATTTTTAAAAAAACAATTTCAATGGTTTGGCATATGACACTAAATAACTAAAATAGTTGTCAATTATCAGGTTGAAAATATTTTTATTCATGTTATTTTACAAAAAGATAAATCTAATTTTTTAATATTCTAAAATTTAGAAATTTTTAAATATTTGCTTATTTAACTTGTTTTTAATGCACTAAATTTTGGATTTTAAATGACATCGTAAGTATTATAATATTTCAAATCTAAATAGGTAACAGTAGTGTGTTTTGGCCGTAGCAGCTCCTGTTATCATGTGATAACAGGAGCCGCTACGGCCAAAACATACTACTGGTAACGGTCAGTTTACATGTTTAATACATTTAAAGATATTAAAATGGGAGAATGTGTTAATATTCTATAAAAATTATCATGGCATACTACTACTACTAGCAGTAGGGATACTCTGAATGTTATTTTTGAAGAAAAAAAAATATTTAAAATTTAGAGGGGTTGAAGAAGTAGGAAAGTAAAAACAGAATCATATAATTAAATAATCATCCCATCGATAAGTATAAGTAAATTAGCATTGATAATAGTGACAAAATAAAAAAAATAAAGAGTAAAGAACATGCATGTATGTAAATTTTATTTTATTACAGAAAATTTAACGTGACACAGTGACTAGAAACATATTACAAGGGTAAAATTACTTTGCATGGTAATTTTTAATTAAAATAATACATATATTACAGTATCATATTTTATAAAACAACTCTAATTATTAAATTTTAATATAAATTGAGTGGCCATAGACATATATAGGGTCTCCATCCTATCGTCAGTAATTTTCAGTACCTACACCAGGTATATTTTAGTTAAATATAATTCAAATAAATATATTTAAAAAAGGTTTATACAATTGTAGAGCTTTAAGCAACAAACAGACAAGTCTACTTATTAAAATTGTTCAGAACGTTAAACAAAAAAAATTCTTTATATAATTAGTAGTTTTTTTCTAAGTGCATGTCCGTAAAACAATATATATAAATAAATAGTTATTATCGATATGGGCAGAAATAAAAAATTGCTTTATGTGAAGGGACCACATTTTTTTGAAATCGTTGTAGGTAGAATGGTAGAAAAAAAATTGTTGTAAAATCTAGATACCTACTTACTTACTTATCTCTTAAAATTTGCCGGTGATTGTTAAGAGAAAATAATAGGGAAACTAGAATATAATTAGAATGAGCTATTAAGAGATGACTTATAATATTTCTAGTCTGGTTTGTAAATATTGGGATGTGAAAGGAGTGTAACTTATGAAATGTACCTAGTTGAAATTGCTAAATTATGTCAACACTGCCGATAATTAGACAATCTTATAATTGTACTTTAATCAACCATATTTTGAAATTATTGTTTTGTTTAATAACAATAAAAAAAAAATGAAATTTATTGAATACAAAAATAAACGTCCTTGTCCAATGATGATGATTAATGCTTTCAGCTAGTACCCAAACCACGCCTATTACTGTTATTCGTGACATGCAATAATCTTATAATAATTTAACAACCTAATCGCCTAACCGGAAATCAACGTTTACTTAAAACGGTAAGTTATGCTTAAATGCCATCATTCATTATTAAGTTCGAGGTTACCTTAAAATGTGGTTTTTAATTCGCCGTTTTGTCTTAAAAGATTTCTGACAGTAATTGCAGTCAAACGACGTTGTTTGCTCTTCTTCAGCATAACACAGTTCATGCCTAGTAATTTCTATTTCTGATTCGAAAACACAATCATCGAAGCAATCTTTTTCAATTTTGATACTCAATTGGTCGTTTTTTCTGCTAAAACTACAACAAACAAAAATACAATACTTTATATTGTTGTATTAAAATTTAAAAAAAACATATACATTATAAAATGTACATGATTTCATTATAAAATATAATGAAAAAAAATGTATAAATGTTTTCTAAATATTATTTATATATATATATATAACACAGTAAGTCTCGTGTGGATGAACGCTAACATAATGCGGTACTGCAGACTTTGACCGGTAATCATACCCACAAATAGATGTTTACAAATTTATTTTTTTTGGTATTTTGATTTAACATTATATTGATAAGAGATGTAGTTTCAAAACAATTTTTTATTATATAAAAAAATGGTTCCTAATTTAAGTTAAAAGTCAGCGGAACAATAACATTGATACCAACAACGGGTTTATATCAGGATGACATCATTACAAAAACTGAATTGTTTTACTTAGTAATAAAAATAAGGTACAAAAATTGCCTTACTCATAAGTATTGTCGCCTTCATTCTTTACCAAAGACTCCTCCGTTGTAGAAAATTCATTGTTTTTTAACTGCACATCTAATGGTTTAGGTTCAATGAGTTCAAATGATTTTTCAAAAGATTGTTCTTCTGTTTC